ATATATATATATATGTATATATATATATTTTAATGAGTTTGGGGTTATTTTATTTTATTTTATTATTATGCTAATATTTTATTCTTGTAAGACTAAGATTGTAAATGTCTATGTATTTTTGCAAGCTCCATCAACAAAATAAAAACATATTTTTACATACATAGCACCCAATTGTTATGCATTTACCATTTACATATGAGTGCGTGTATGGTGGCATGTTGGTAAGGTCTTAAGTCCCCTAAGGTATGGAAAATATTTGCGTACATAAGATGTACGCAAATATTTCTTCTATGGGGTTGATCGTGGGTACAATGGGGTTATATCTGGGTTATACCCCCTTGTAACCTCCGATATAACCCGGATATAACTCCCCTGTACCCCCAGAATAACCTCTGATGTACGCAGCGTTGCGTACATCTTATGTACGCAAATATTTCTCCTAAGGTATAGAGCGTGATACTCAAATATTTAGCACGCCTAGGGATGGTCGGTGCTTGTCTAATAGCCTTCGATTATTCCTAAACCCTAAAAAATAAAAAAAGGTAGGGTGCTTTGGATGTAAAAATTAAAGTTTGGATGTTAGATAAGTAAATGCATAAGAATTGGGTGCTATATATGTAAATTTGTCTATAGAAAATGTTTTGTATTTTATTTTTTTAATGAAATGGATTGCTTTTTGTGTTATAAAAAGGAGTGGCAGTTGTACAGTAGGAAAAAGGAAATTTAAGAGGGCTGAAAATGACTTTCCTGTAAAATTTTGTGCTCTATTTTAGATCTCTCTTGCTGTTTCTTTTTTAATAATGTGTTATATCCCATCAATGTTTCTCGCCTTTTCCAAACTTGTGAATGATTCAAATTTATTTGCTGATTTGCAATTACATTGTTTAGCTTGAATTTTCTGTTGTAAATTGCATGCTTTGGAAATCAGTACAGTATTCTCTCTTTTTATTTCGAGGAAAAATGCTTTTCAAAATCACAGATTAAGGGTTCGTTTGGGGCAGCTTGTGCGTTTCAGGATAAACTGCTTATTCTGAAATACTGCCCTCGGGCCGGCCGCAGAGGTCGACCCGCGGCCTGCGTTTAGTGTAAAAACCCAAACACAGTTTCGGATAAGCTGGTGAAACGCACGAACCAAATAGTACGGCGGCGTTTTAACCCATTAATTTTGTTTGTAGCATCTTTTAAATTATAATATTTCAGTATAAAACTAGGTGATGAGCCAAAATTTTTCTTATGTTCTTTTATTTTCTTGTTAACATCATTAGTTTAATTTGTGTGTATGTGTGCGTGTGTGTGTGTTCATGCGGTTGTGCCTGATTTCAAATGTTTTCATAATTGTACTAGTAGCAATAACCTATTTTTTTTTGTAGCTAGTTGAACAAAAAAATATAGTATATGTGGGCTAACAACAAGCACATTTAAGTAATATGCTAATATGCAGGCAAAAAACTTGTTATTGTTTGAATGAAAAATACGAGAAAATATTACGTTCGGATATAGGGTGTCCAGACAACAAAATATGAGAAAATATTATATTATATCATTGATAAGAGCATTTAAACGTTTCGTCTTTTTAGAGTAAAATCAAGTTGTATTTATGTTTTTATTCAGTCAAATTATGTTGTGCGTCATGCTTCAAGTTTTGATTTAACTTCTGGATGATAATTTTTTCAAAATGACATTGTTGTGCTCGAGTTTTTATTAGTAAAATGTGTTTATTGTCTTTTTTTTTTTT